TACGAAATCTGTCAAATATTATGCCTCACTTTTAAGTGGCGCCGTCCTGGTGGCAGGAAAAGTCGTGGATGCCCTCATTGGTGACCAGCACAGTAAAGAAATACTGTGGGGTGAGAAATTGATTGAAAAGTAAAACAAATATTTTGGCCCAAGTTCCCGATCAGAAAACAAAGGAATTGAGCAACCAGATCATAATATGTCATTCAAGAAATTTTATAGGTCCGACAGGTAAAAGGTCTTTTTTTTTCTTATAGAATAAGGGTGACAAACGAGCACACAGCCCACCTGATGGTAAGTGGATGCTGTGGCCCATAGACATCTACATCTATCTTCGTTTGCGAATTAAAATGCAGACGCGTTATCGCTCGTGAGGACTATGATAGAATGCCTCTTTTCCAGTAAAAAGGGTCACTAAAAAGGGTAAAAGGTCTTTATCGGCCTACAGAACATTGCTTATAAAACGAATGCTTATAAAATGAAATGCAGTGGTTTAAGGCTAAGAACTCATGGAGCAATATTTACCCGCAACCGCAGCGGTAGCGGGGAAATAGGTACCTATACTATATTATGCAGTAAATTTCACGACGCGATTATTATACGCGTCACGTGTGGTTGCTTGCAGCTAGCTGTCGCTGCATCGGCTGACAACTTGGAAGAATCACGCAGGCCGCAATAACCTGTTCGCTGTGGTTGTAAGTAGTGTTGCCCAAATGCAAGAACAAGACGAGACTTAGCAAGTCTTGGTCTTGGTCTTGCGCCAATACACCTGGTCTTGGTCTTGGTCTTGGTATTGCGCTCCCAGTCTTGGTCTTGGTCTTGGTCTTGGTCTTGCAGCAAGAGTCTCGCAAGTCTCGCAATTATCTATTAGCCTATTACTATTTATTAAACGTTACTTTAGATCTTAGAACAACTTAACAGAGTAGGTACATATTGAGCTTGAATTGACATAGCAATAGTAAAGACCAACCATATTAATAAATGTCTAAACATTTAATGAGAAATTCGAAAAATCAACTGACACCGGGTGGGGTTTGAACCTACGACCTAAGCGATCCGTGCCGATGCTCTAACCAACTGAGCTATCTACCGTGTCCCACGGCCACGGGCGTCAATTTCTTAATAAACGTTTACATTTAATAAGCTTACATGTGCTAAAACATAGTTAAACATACATATAAAAACAAATTAATGGCAATAACTACACTGTATTTTAAATAACATTATCTCTCTAGAAAGAGATTGATGGACCCTCACCATATATGAAATGGAATAAAAGAGTTATACAATATACAATTTATTTAAATAAAAAATCAAATACGATGCAAATTAAATTACTTCACAGTATGTACACAACAGCTTTGACATTACTGTTACTTTATATTTATTCTTTTGACAAAGCATTAATACAAAGTAACCATCTGTCTGACTCATCACTTAACCTATTTCTATGTTTTCTAATTACTAATGATGCTTTAGAAAATAATCCCTCAGCAGGTACTGAAGTTGCATTTTGTCTCATGCGTCCTCCAACAGACTAAAATGTCTTCCGAGATGACGGCTCTGGGTTTACCTAGGTACCCCTCCAACTCCTTTATAACTAAGCCTTGAAGACAAGATCCAGATCCATTTTTACACATTTCAAGTGTTTTAAAAGTGCTATGGTGTCAACCATATTTATCAAATGTGTGACGACATATTCGAGCACTTTGTGTTTTAAAAACACACACTTGCAAAAGTCGAGATGGTGTGTCAGTCTGTTGAGAATTTGAAATTGTAGCGGTTTTTAACGGTTACCGTTGAGCATTCAGTTTCAAAATAGGAGGTTCAGATGCCTGGGTGATTAGTAATCGATTGCTGAAAACAGAATTTGAAAATTCGAAACCGTTCTCGAGATAATCGTGGGACAGACGGACAGACGGACAGACATCGTGAAATCAATAAGTGACTTCGCATGCTTCGCCACTTAATAATAGTAAGTAATTATTATAAATCCATACAGTTAATTTTATAATAATTACTTACTAGAATAAATTATTATGATACCTACCTATTATCTAATTACAATATTTCTTGCGAGATCAGGATAATGTATTCGTGTCCATTCTGAGCACCCGGAAACTTATTTTATTCTTTGAAACATGTACTCTGTGGCGGCAATCAAACAGTGTTTTGACATTACATTTGTGTAGTGCGTGTGGCGCGGCGGCGACGATTATGCGATATCAATAGTAGCCGCCGGCACGTGTATCTTGACCTTGTACTTTCGAATAGCTGCACAATTTCTTTGACAGGTCAGTATCTGACCTTTGATGACGCCGACAACAAGACGCCGCGCACTATCAAAGTGCCGATGATCAAAACTAGGGATGCACTCTTTTTTCTTTTAATGGATATTTTCATTCGCTATGTATGTTTATGGTATTGTTCGTAATGCGCATAAGTCCAATTTTCCAATTTTTTTTTTCATTATATTTTTTTGCGTCTCATAGTGTCCCTAAGCGTATATCCGAACTCCTATACTCCCTGAAACGATACTTAGTCCTAACTGCAAGACGCAAGAGTCTCGCAAGCTTAGTCTTGTTCTTGCGCAAATCTTGCACGGTCAGTCTTGGTCTTGGTCTTGCTAAAAAGAGGCGGTCTTGTTCTTGGTCTTGCAAAAATGCAAGAAAAAGAACAACACTGCAAGACCAAGACCGATTTTGGGCAACACTAGTTGTAAGCTACGGTGACACTGTGGATTCGCCTGGAACTTTACACGTAATGGATACATCATAAATAACCCGCCTTGCAATCATCTTCTACTGTGTTTGCAAGCGTTACCGCCTCCGCAGCGAACAATGACCCACACAAAACTGAGGCCTCGTGAGTTTTGAATTAAAATATCAGTTCCATCAGTATCAGCAGCAGCGCAGATAAATATAGCTCCATTAGTTCTTAGTCTCTGTCTACTTGTTTCAAAAACACGTTCAACGAACGCTACGATCGGCAGTGACGTCATTTATCATCTCTGACCGGTGAGGTGACCAAGAAATATATGAGGCCGTCAGTTATTTTGCATAATTGGTCACGGGTAGTGCATTAAAGTTAAAGTTACATCCTATGTACGTCCCACTGCTGTGCACAGGTGCTCCTCTCATTTCTGGGAGGGTTTTAGGTCAAGGAAATGTTCGCCGCGCTGCCCCAATGCGTGTTGGCGAACTTCACATGTTCAAAATGTTTTTTATCTTATTTGTCAAACATGCAGGTTTCCTCATGATGTTTTCCTCCACCGTCGAGCACGTGGTAAATCAGCACTTTAAATTGCAGTTAACAATTTCATTTGTGCCGGCGGGGCCCGGATTGCGTACTGTGAAATTCACAGCGAACGCTTAGTCATTTAGCAACCACGGAACGGATATATATTGGATCGATATTTTGAGAAAATATTGATATCGACCTCAATATACCGAAAAAAATATCGATATATCGATGAAATTTTCTAAAAATATTTGTACCTTGTGAATTTCTTTTGTGTTTTTTTACTAGTCTAGTTCAATTTATCTGTAAATATTACATTTTCGATACTTCATATTTTCTATCGATATATCGATGTATTGAAAGAAAAGATATCACCAAAAATGTCTATACATCGCACCAAAATATCCATATTTAGATACATAGATATTTTTTCAACAAACCTGATTTGTTATTAAAGGATGCAGGAAGTATGGACGTAATATACGTCCATGGCAGGAAGTGCCAAAAAGTTTCATTATATATCGTATTTATATTTGAAGAAAATATTGATTTCGATATGTTGAAAAAATATCGATATTTCAGTGATTTTTTTTAAATATTTGTCTTCTTGAATTTCTACAGTGTTTTTTTTACCAGTCTATTGTTCAAAAATCTGTAATGTAAAATTTAATGAATTTTAATTGAATAAAATAGAATTTGCAGTTAAATGCACTTATGCAAACCAATACTTATTCAAAAGAAAGAAACAAAAGAAAAACTCTAAGTTTGATGTGCCCTGCTGAATGTCAGCTGCTGTTATTGGGTACGCTAAGATTAACAACCGACGCCACTCAGAACCAAGTACTACAGCACTATTTTTGAATGGTATCTAGTGAAATCACGGCTATCGGTCCAAAATTTTGATGAATTACCTGAATTGCAGCGGGTTTAGTCAGTAGTGACAACGGTGTTACTATTGGAAATAAATTGCATTTGATACATTTAGGATACTTGATATTTTATATTAATATATCGAAATAATAGATATCGTCATAAATTATCGATATATCGAACAAAAATAAGGATGTATAAATACATCGATATTTTTCTACAAGCCCTGTCTAGGGATGGGCAAAGGGAAAATATATATCGATATATATCGAATCTATATTTTTAAACAATATCGATATATATCGAGTGACAAATATCGATATATCGTCATCATTTGTATGATGTAAAGATAAGGTCCAAAATTTTATTTACTGACGGTTGAACGACGAAAAAAACGATACAACATTTTAAAATATATCGAAATTGATACGAATTCGATACTCTAAAATAAATATCGATATTTCGATATATCGATATTTTTTGCCCAAGCCTAGCCTTGTCGTTGTCAATGTCATATCAAGGCACTGGCATTTTATTTTTTGTATTCCAATATTTATTAGTTTTGATTATAGTCTTGTGGCAAATAATTAATTAAAAATTATTTTAGCGACCTTTGTTCCGATTGATATTGGATAGAATTACGTCATTCATGTCAGTGTTGTCCTTTGCCTTGTAAGAATCTAACGTTTCTATTGCAAATAACCATTAATATTTAATAATTTGATCTCAAAACTAACTGTAATTAATAAATCACAGTATACTTTCGTTCTGTTTACTATCCAGTTGTGTTTCGTGTGTTGAAGAAGTTTTAAGTATTTCTATTTAAATACTTTCGTCTTTAGTACTACATATACGTTTCATTTATTTAGTTTTTTGTGATATTACTTTCTAATATGAAAAAGCAAGGGATTATGATCTGTGTGCCTTTATACAGCATTGTGTAAGTTTTTTTTACTTTGTTTATATAGTATATACTTAATATTTATTTAGTTGTAGTAATAATATACAATATTTATTACAGTAAAAGAAACTAAAACCTAAAATTAATTATGGCCTTACTTGAGGCGGACTGATTTATGATTATTTTATTGTAACAGATATTTTACACAATACAATATTATTTAAATAAAGTAGGTATTAATAATTTAGAATGTTACATCATAACTTTTTTGTTAAATAAATACTAGCAATGCTATTAATATTCCCTTTAACCACTCCATTATTTCTCTTACTATTAAAACTTATGTTACTCTTTAAATCTTATGTTTTTACAGTAAAAGAAATATTATCCACCATTTTTAGACATTTTCAAGGCTATTTCCTTGTTTTTATGATTAAGAAGGTGAATAAAAATTACATGGCAAGTTTATCTGTGCTTATTATATGTATAAATATTGTATTACCTAAAATAACGTTAACTTATTGGAATTACTAAGATTCACGAATGGGTCGGCTCAACCGGAGAAGGACCACACTGTCAAGGAATACCAACTTAAATAGCAGCTTAAGGCTGCTGTGCTACATATGGTGATTGTAGAAAACTGGAGGCCCTTTTTATTGGAAACGAGGCATTCCATCTTAGTCCTCACGGATGACAACCCATCTGCATTTTGGTTCGTAATCGAGGATAGATGTAGATGTCTGTGGGACACAGCAACCACTTACCAACAGGTGGTACTGTGTGCTCGTTTGACGCCCTGATCCTATAAAAAAGAATAAAAAAATAATTCCACTCAATATAACTAAATTTCAATAATTAAAAAAAAAACAAAACTATCAGAAAACAATTTCAATTTATATTTTCATTCATTTTATTCATTCATTATCATCAATAATACAACCCTCTACCAGCCCACTGAGCTTCTGCCAAAGAATAAATAAAGTATGATCCTGAGCCAGCTGTGTCCATTGACATCAGGGCTTGCTATTTAATTTAGTGGGAGGCCGTCCCTAGAAGAAGGCTGCCACTTGAGAACTGTTCTTACTTGGTTAGTGGTCAGAAATTATGCATTTAATATATATTTAAAAAAACACCAATGAATTATTGCTTACATATGGTTCTCATTGCCCATTTGGACTTATATTAACTTCATTAAGTGTAGATTTTTATCTTATTTTTCTTATAAGTTTCAAGGATGTACCTTTTTCAAATATCTAGATTAGATCCCTTATAAACTGTCATGTCTAGTTGTTTGTAGCATACCCAATTTCATAGTTACAGGTTATTTATTGTTTTTTTTTTTTACTATTACAAGCCAGTGACTGACTACAATCCTATCTGATGGTAAATGGTTATGTAGCTGGAGATGGTAAAGTGTTGTGTGTGTGTCTAAGCTTTACAAAAGTCTATTCAATCTTGCCTTGAAATCATGTCTACATTGTAATGTGATGGATAGACAAACACACAGTCGACCTAATGTTAAGTTAATGCTGTGGCCTATAGACATCTACATCTATCCTGGATTAAGAATCGTAATGCAGATGCGTTGTCAACCCTGAGAACTAAGATGGAATGCCTCGTAACTGTATGGCTCACGTATGCTATAGGTACTGTATATTCATATTATAGATCCTATATACTTTATATAATTTATTTATTTAGAAACTAAACTCATTAGATTGTAGTGTTTAAATATTAATGTTTGTTATTCCAAAAGTTTACCATTCCTAATTGTATCTTGGAATAAGTTAACGATTACACAAACAAGAATAATATTGGTGTTATTAATAATATTGACATTAAAATTGCGGGTTACTCGCGTACTGTGGAATTTACAGTGAGTGTTTAGCCCCTGAGCTAGCACGGCTATATAATAAAGATTAGGGAACAATATTATTCCTATTTGTGTTATCATTAACTTATCCTAAGATACAATTAGGAATGGTAAACTTTTGGAACAACAAACAATAATATTTAAACATTACAATCTAATGAGTTTAGTTTCTAAGTAAATATTCTATAGAAAGTATACAGGACCTATAACATGAATATAATAAAGTATATAGTGTACAGATGCTTTGTCATCTCTGAGGACTTACATGGATTGTCTCACTGCTTGTTATTATACTGGCGATCATGGTATCCCGAGTTTGAATCTCGGGTTGGGCCAAAATCAGTTTTTTTATAGTATAGGGTAACAAACAAGCACACAGTCCACCTGATGGTAAGTGGTTGCTGTGACCCATAGACATCTACATTTATCCTCAATGAAGAATCAAAATGCAGATGCGTCGTCACCCTTGAGGACTAAGAGGGAATGCCTCTTTTCCAGTAAAATGGGTCTCCGGTTCTCTACACTCACCATACAAAACACAGCAGTGTTAAGCCGCTGGTATTCTGTGCGAGCGTGGTCCTTCCCCGGTCGAGCCGACCCATTCGTGCTACAACTATACTACTAATATAGCTGCAGCATGGCTCTACCACATATAAGAGTTATTGGGATATTGCTGCCAAGAAATTCTCAGTAGCAGCCTAGAGTCTGGAAGTTGGCGGTGTTTCACCTCCGTGCCTCGGAAAGCCATTGGCTCTACGCCTGATCTCTCTCCGGCTGTGTTTGATTACCATCCCATCGGACTATGAGAGTGAGGGAATAGAGTGCACCTGTGTTTGCGCATACACTAGTGCACTTTAATCCTGTCCTGCGTTAATAGCTAGTCTCCATTGAATAGCCGCCGTGAACGAAATTCGGTCTGGAAGACATACTGGCGTTCTATATCCTTCAGTCACAGAAGTGCAAGCACTGGTATTTGGCGGCATTACCCACGTTGGAGAGTGGTACCAACCCAGACGGACCCCTAGTTTGAAAAAGAGTCCTGCCACCTTAGTCTTCCTGGGTAACAACGCTACCTTAAGCCTCCAAGCCGTGTGTGCACTGCCGCTTGACGACAAAACAACTTTGCGGATTTTTTCACGTTCAATTTTAACTTTTGTTAATTCCCGACATTTCGAGCACTTTAGAGCACTCGTTGTCACAGGGACGTTAAAACTGAACGCGATAAAATCCGTAAAATTTCGTTTTAATCCATTAATCTCTTAAAATCGTAACATTGATTAACCAATTCGCTGTCCTGTGTACCTACTACATGTAGTTCATTGTTGTTGTCTTGTTAAAAAAGAATAAGTCAATGGTTGAAACATAAAACATTTCCTTGTTATTTCAACAAGTTTACGATAACTCCGTTTTTATTGCGTACACAAAGGTTGCCTGTTGCTGCAAATACAAAGCATTTCTTTTCCTTTTAAAAATACAATGAATCTTAACTTATTTTTACAGAAACGATGTTCTTATCCTGTCGTTGACCAACATTAGGTATTTTAATTGACATTGTTTCGCATAGATTTGCAAATCTGATATTGGATAACTCGCAGATTATCTGCGTTGCACCGGACGTTAAGCCGATATTACACGGATCAACCAAATTGAAACAATTCCATTGAAAAACATTGAACATTGCACATTGAATGGCTTTACCAATATACACGTAATCATTTAAATGACGTTCAATGTTCACAGCGCAATGAGATGTCGCGCCAACTCGTACGTGCGGGAATTTCGATATACTTTTTGTACGTGGTAGAGCCATGCCGCAGCTATATTTCGGGTATAGTTGTAGCACGAATGAGTCGACTCGACCGGGGAAGGACCACGCTCTCACAGAATACCAGCGTAAAATAGCAGGTTAACGCTGATGTGTTTCGTATGGTGAGTGTAGAGAACCGGAGACCCTATTTACTGGAAAAGAGGCATTCCATCTTAGTCCTCACGGATGACAACGCCTCTGCATTTTGAATTTTTATTGAGGATAGATGTAGATGTCTATGGGTCACAGCAACCACTTACCAACAGGTGGACTGTGTGCTCGCTTGTCACCATATCCTATAAAAAAAAACTTGCAGCCAACTGCAAACGAAGAAGGCATAAATACGTTGTCACTTCTACGGACTAAGATGGAATTCTTCACAGCATGTAATCATCTATTCTACCGTTTAGACTGGAACACAACAGTGCTAACACTGATATTCATTGACATAACTAAATAGAGGCTGGTACCTTTATTTTTTTTTATTTGGGAGAATGCCTAAGCATACCAATTTTTAATAAAAAAAAACCCAGAAAAAACAGAATACCCGCCTCGCGGGGTCAAGGACGAGTTATGTTGAACTCGCACCGACTAAAACAGCACGATATTCCACCTTCGTCGCATATTGGTAGGCCCCAGGAACGCTTTCGGACACATCCGCGGCTCCATCAGCGCTGGCCGCCCCATGACAGGCCTTCGTCGGGAGAGAACTACCCCTGTCCATCTCCTTCTCAGGTAAGGCGCACCAGAACACATGGCGCGTCCTCCTCCGCGGAAGAGGCTGGTACCTACCCAGACAGACTTCTAGACAGAAATGAAGACTAGTCATAGAGTTAGACCACCTGACCACCATATATATTATACGTGGTAGACTGGTAGAGCCACGCTGCAGCTATATTACGGTTGTAGTACGAATTAGTCGCCTCGACCGGCGTTGGACCACGCTCTCACAGAATACCAGCGTAAAATAGCAGCTTAATACTGTGCTTCGAATGGTGAGTGTAGAGAAGCGGAGACCCTTTTTTATTGGAAACGAGGCATTCCATCTTAGTCCTTAGGGGTAACGACGCGAATTTTCATTCTTAACCTAGGATAGAAATAGATGTCTATTGGCCACAGAATCCATTTACCATCAGCTTATGGAGTGTAGAATACAAGGAGAACCATCTTATAAGGGGCGAAAGTTGAAAAAGTGTCCTACTATTTACTGAAAATAGAGGTTCAAAAACCTACTACAATAGCGCTGGCGTCTGAAAAATTACGATATAAATATATATAGCTGTTGTAGACGGAGTGAAGTCAGCTGAATTCAAATATTAAAAAAATTTCATGACTAGAGTAGTTAGTAAAATGCCAGTA